GGGGTGGAGTGATACTGGCAATAGCAGCACTGTAGGAGGGGGACAACTGAAAACGGAGGCCTCCACCTCTGTTTAATGATGGACGGTCTTTCTTCTTAGTTACTTTTAGCTTACCTTTTTATACTTTTAGTTTTAAGCTAATCTTTTGCCGCTTTTAATTCTAGCTATGCTTTTTACTAGCATTTTGCTTCCTTCAGATTATAAAGCACCTTTTCATGTTGTTAGTTTTTAGCTAACATTTGGCTACATTTAGCCGCTTGTTAGCAGTTTGCTAGTGTATTATTACTTCATTTAAAGAGCTCTCAGTGTATTTTTATGGGGACAATTTTTGTAAATATTGCTAAATCAAAAAGTGTAAAATTTCTAAATGAGTTGGATGTTTAGATGAGCTAACAGATGTGAAAGCTGACTCAGCATTAGTGACCCTGTAAAATCTTCACGAGTCATGATTTGTGGCAGCTGTTATCAAAGTGTCAGATTAGGTGAAATAAAACATCAGTTAAAGTGATTTATCAGCAGCRACTCATCTTTAACACCTCCATGTTTTTATCAAAGTGCCGTCTTTAACAGAAACTTCCTGTCRGCCGCTCCACAGTGGAGGCTCAGATCCGGTTTGTTGGCCGGGAGCTGAGGTTTGACGGACAGGTAATAAACCAACAGGTTGAGATGTCACCCTGAGGTGCAGCTGTCAGGACATATACTGCGTCTAAAAGGTAAAATGTTTCGTCTTTGTTCAGCTGGTGTTGCTGGGATTAGAAATGTGTTGAAGCTTGATGAGTTTTGGTAAAACCTGTTAGCCACTCAGAAAACAGAAACAGTTTTAAATTAAATCTGATTCATGTCAGCGGAGAGCTTTAAAACTCAAAACATAAAATGGATATTTTACTTTAAATTACTTTTTTAAATCATATAATAAAACATTTATAAAGTAAAGGACCAACCGTGTCCTGTGAGGCATGAGGTGTCCTCCTGTTACACTGTTAGAGCCTGGACAAGACACTGTCCACAGAGGGAGGAATGGATGATGGATGGATGGATGGATGGATGGATGATGGATAGAAGGATGCATGGATGGATGGAAAGAAGAATAGATGGATGATGTATGTATGTATGTATGTATGTATGTATGGATGGATGGATGGATGGATATATGGATGATGGATGATGGATAGAAGGATGCATGGATGGATGATGGATAGAAGGATGGATGATGGATGGATGGATGAGGGATGATGGATGATGGATGGATGGATGGAAGGATGGATGATAGATGGATGATGGATGGATGGATGGATGGATGGACGGATGGATGATGGATAGAAGGATGCATGGATGGATGATGGATAGAAGGATGGATGGATGGATGGATGGATGGATGGATGGATGATGGATGGATGGAAAGAAGAATAGATGGATGATGTATGTATGTATGTATGGATGGATGGATGGATGGATGGATGGATATATGGATGATGGATGATGGATAGAAGGATGCATGGATGGATGATGGATGGATGGATGGATGGATGAGGGATGATGGATGATGGATGGATGGATGGAAGGATGGATGATAGATGGATGATGGATGGATGGATGGATGGATGGACGGATGGATGATGGATAGAAGGATGCATGGATGGATGATGGATAGAAGGATGGATGGATGGATGGATGGATGGATGATGGATGGATGGAAAGAAGAATAGATGTATGATGTATGTATGTATGTATGTATGTATGTATGGATGGATGGATATATGGATGATGGATGATGGATAGAAGGATGCATGGATGGATGATGGATGGATGGATGGATGGATGAGGGATGATGGATGATGGATGGATGGATGGAAGGATGGATGATAGATGGATGATGGATGGATGGATGATATTTGGACAGATGGATGGATGAAAGAAGAATAGATGGATGATGGATGGATGGATGGATGGATGGATGGATGGATGGATGGATGATGGATAGAAGGATGCATGGATGGATGATGGATAGAAGGATGGATGGATGGATGGATGAGGGATGATGGATGATGGATGGATGATGGATGGATGGATGATATTTGGACAGATGGATGGATGGATGGATGGATGGATGGATGATGGATGGAAGGATGATGGATGGATGGATGGATGATGGAGAGATGATGGATGGAAGGATGGTGGATGGATGGATGGATGGATGGATGGATGGATGGAGAGATGATGGATGGAAGGATGATGGATGGAAGAATGATGGATGGATGGATGG